GGACAGTGGACGCATGTTACTTCCATACCGGTCATTCTGCAGGCAATCTTTCCCAATCTTGACCACCGTGTCTCTCTTATGAGGATCAGGGCGCGTGGGATGCTCTTCCAGCTCTTGCGTGTTTGTGTTCCAGGTCTCGCACAGTCCAATTGCTCTGTATTAGTGGCGCAGATCAGCGCCTTGGAGGATCAAGGAGATTCTATATTTTGGAAGGATGATGATGACAGCGATATCGTGGAAACTCGAATGAGTGCGCTCTTCTCTCAGGTGCTTCCTATGCTCCAGCCTCTTGTTCCAGCCTTGGAACAGACTGTAGGCAAACTGGCACTAGCCTACGTGGAGCTTTGTAACATGCGGAGCCTCGCGTTTCGTTCTTTACAAGTGCTCCGTGTGTTGAAACTGCCTTTGAGTCATGCCGCGCTGGATCAGTTGCTGAGTCGGTTATCTGTTTCCATAGCGGATGTGGATCCAGAAAGACAGGCCTTTTCGGCGGAAGTTATCCGCACCATCACCCATATGGCTACACTGGACGAACTCGATGATACGCTGCTTCCTCGTCTTTTTTGGACGACGCATGCAGTGATGTCAACTAGTGCAGAAACCGAATACATGCAAGCCATCAAACTGTTGTCTGCATTCCTCGATCGGATTGACTTAGATGATCCCCATATCGCAGACCTCGTCGTTGCCCAGCGCCCTAAAGATTGGAACGGATCCATCGGATTGCAACAAGCCCTTTGGAGCGGGCTTCGTTCTGCCACGACTCTAGATGACACGTTCACAGTCCTTAGGAGACTGGCCAAGTTGAAGTGCGCCAAATTGTTCGACTCCTCTCAAAACTGGCTCCGAGACCTCTTTACTCTGTCCCTACCATGGTGCATGCATGCCATGTGCACTGACCAACATGATGAGGCTCTAAACGATTTCTGTTCTTCAATAGCGGACTTAGCTGATGAAGATGGTCTGGAGAGTATCAATCGGATCATGGTTTCCTTTGTCAAGCGTCGGTTCAGGACCAAAGATGATTTTCTTCGTCAGTCCATTAGCAGTCTACGTGACCACTATCCTCCCGATGACTGGACCGATATCGCAACTCTGTTGTTGAGTTTGGTGCTCAACAAGGAGAGATGGCTCCAAGTATACTCAATGCACGTCCTTAAAGTCCTATTCCAGCAACGTGCTTTGCAGTCGTTGGGCACAGAGCATCTTATGCCCCTATTGCGGTTGGTGGAAGGAGAGTTGGCGACGCAAGCTCTTGATGTATTGGAGGAGCCAACGAAGATCACTGGAGGACTCACAGCCAAACAGGTCCTTCGCATGAGCATGCACGTCTCAACACTTACCGGTGCAGGTGCGAGTGAGGGTGAGACAGAGATCTTTGGTGTTCCAGAAGACTCTGGCTGGTGCATCGCACGTATATCACATCGACAAACCCAATGTCGCGCCAACGTCCTTGCGGTTGCACTTATGTTCACGACATCATCACGCATATCTACGGTGCACTTCCAGCCAGAGGTCCAAGAGCCCCTGTTCGCGGATGAGCTTGATGAAGACTTGGGAGTCCTGGTTCAGGACCTGCACGAGCTAAGCGAGTTCTTCCAGAAGACGAAGCCTCAGACGCAACTCCTACCGAGTCAGCAGCTGGAAGATAGAGTCGCATCCATTCTAGCTAGGTCTACAGACCACTCCAACGACATGCCTCAGACTCCATTCGGAGATGTATTCCAGGTCGGTGGATCACACGACCTTTCGGACGACTCCAGTGATGAGTCTGATCCTGAGTCTGAGGGTGACGCATTCATGTATGACTCTCCAGCCTTTTACCGTACCGCTCCCAATGGCAAGAGCTTGTATTAATATATCTTCACCACGCTTTCGTTGTTCTTGATGCATTATAGAATCATTGTAGTCTACGTACATATTAATATGGCACCTCTGGAGTTATGTACCAGCATTCACGAATAGAAATTGCAACATGATATGAAGTCTAACAGCGTTCGAAGACCCGGTAAAGATCTGGTAAACTTGCCACTTGCACGACGTCATTGTCCAACAGAGACTTGGGAGCTGCCAGGTATTTGCGCATCGCATGAAACAGAATATTTTGTATGCGCCATGCTTCAGATTTCTGCTTTTCTTGTTTATCTTCGTCAGAGGCTGGCGCTGAGACGACGGACAGCGGGGCTGGGGAGTAAAAGTACGCTAGCTCGCGCATGAAAGAACCAAAGCACTCTTGCTCAGACTCCCAGATGACCTAAGAGAGCTTGGTATCCGTGGAATGACAATATGGCGTCGGAACGTACCTGAGGCCCGAGACGCATGAGAAACATGGGTAGCTTGTCGAGATTAGGGGTGTACTCGCGAAGGAGGTGTGGAAGTGTCTTAACATCGCCAGTCTCTGAAATGTCCAAGGAGAAATACTCGCGCAGCATCTCTCGGCGATCCATCAGGGTCTTGACTATTCGCTGTAAAAGGACGTTGAGTGGATCTGCCAAAGTACTGAAATTTGATCATACATCGACAATCTCGTCCTCGCTCATGCCACTGCGTGCTGTATCTTCTTCTACGTCGACCGCGAACTTGACGAGCATCCGAAGAGATGGTGGGGGATCGAGTTTGAGTCGGCTATAATCTCCAAATTGCAACAACGCAAGCTGATAGAACATTTCCTCCCTTGATAACTACATCAACACAAGCCTCCGAAGAAGTTCAGTAACGCACGCTAGTGCAGCATGATTGACCATGTAAAGGTTCTTGTTGTGTTGAATCAACGTAAGACACCTGGACATGTCGATCACGCCGACAAAGGTATGTTTCTTGATGATTTCAGACAGGTCTACGTTTTATGTATGTAAGAGCGTTATCGTTGCGAAAAAATTATGTGTAGCTCACCATGGTGTATGCGCTTGGTAGCAAGACGCCTGAGTTCTGTTATAGATGCAAAATGGCACGTCGATTCTTTGATGTCCCGTAACCGGATGGCTGTTACGGGCTCGTCGGAGTCGGTTCTCAACGGGTCAGTGACCGGAATCATCGAATCTAATGTGCGATCCTGTAGGGAGGTCCGGACTTTGTGCTGAGAAAGCACCTTCTTCGCTACTGAACAAGATTCAAATGATATTTGCCTGAGATTTGCGTAAACGCTTACCTTGACTTCCTGATGCCCGGCGATCATCCTCTGGTCCCTCGCCATTTTCTTCTACTTCATCGACGTCACTCGCTTTTTCCTTGCCTTTCCGTGATCCTGATTGTGCGATGCCTCCAGTGAGCAGCGTCTGTCAATGAAGATGTTTAGAGTACGGGCGTAGCGTATATCTTTCGATGTACCTGATACTCGAATACCCGCGACTGACTTTGACCTGCGAGCTTCTGCTGAATAGCATCCGATATTCGCTCGATGATGGTTTCTTCATTCAAAAAGTGGACTTCGCGCTTGGTCGGATGCACGTTGACATCTACAGACCTCGGGTCGAGGTTGATGCTGCGTGAATTATTATTTTCATATCCCACTGGCAGGATTCGGTCTCACCTCAAATACACGAAAGGAGAAGAACCTTTTGGCAGTATGCCGCTGTATATGCTCTCAATAGAACGTTTTATACGAAGTGATTCCACTAGACGGTCTACATAAAATACGCGTTAGATTTTGCAATATAGAAGCATGGGAAAGGCAGAAACCGACGATTTATGAATAACAAGAGCGCAGTCTTCTTGCCTTGGTAGTTCGCGTTGGTGCAATATGCTTCTGCCGACCATGCTTCCGGATCTTCCGAATCGTCCATGTCCGTGCTATCATCTGAAACAGAAGACGCTGTGACGTGCAGAAGCTCTTTGGCTATGGAATGACCGTATAGGTGACGGATGGCCTGAGATGTATCTGAACAGGATGGGGTGGAGAGTTCAGGACTCAGGGAACCAGCCTACACGATGCATTATAGTACATCATTGACGATATTCGAAGCAACACACCTTTTTACACACGAATGACACCTTGGAATTGTGCACAGCATACTTGGTCATCACATCAAGTATTCGCGCGTATTCTTCAGAGGAGCTTCGGAGAGCAGACATTCGGGTAGGTGTATTATAAAACATGTCTTCAATCTGTGGTGAATCGAGTGATGAGAGAGAGCTGTTTGATTTCTTAGGGACATACTATGATGGTTGTTCCGTTGTTTCCAGCACAAGGTTTCGGGTCTGGTGTGTATCCCGCCTTCGACGGGACGAGACTGCCATCAAGGTAAGCAGCCCTGTAGGATTCTCGTCAGGTGTTTTCGTTCTGTGCACAATGTATTATATACATACTTCCAAGCACAATTATTTGACTTGGTCTTCGTGATCACTGTCAGGTGCGCGACATGAGATATAGATGCCAGAGCCTCCCCTCGGAACCCATAAGTGGTTAGCTTGGAGAGGTCGGAAAAAGTAGTCAATTTGGAGGTAGTAAAACGTTCAGCGAGCAAGGGTAGGTCTTCTTTCTTCAAATAAGCTCAATGGAATGCTTTGAAGTGAATGTGAGGAAGACATACACGAATGCCACAACCGTTGTCCTGAATCTGAAGCAGCTTCATACCACCATCCTTGACGATGACTTGAATTGAAGTAGACCCGGCGTCGAGGCTGTTTTCCAGTAGCTCTTTTAGCGCAGAAGCGGGTCTGTGTATGATCTAGAGGTGAATTTCATCAGTACTCATTCACGTCTGTGCCGTAGTTAACCCAGTGCGTACTTCGCCTGCTGCAATTCGGTTAATAAGGGACTCATGAAGTCTCCTTATTGGCTGAGGGCCAGGCGGTTCCGGAGAAGGAGAGCGACGACCGCTTGTCATGCTCAGAGTTGACAGTGGTGATTAGCCAGGCGGCGCGCATTCACGCGTATAAACTTCAAACTCGTCCCATACCATCACGTCATCATTACGTCGCTTCCTAGCAGCAGGGGTTGACAACGGTCGACCGCGCTGCAGCAACCAATTTTTCTGCTAAAAAAAACAATCGTCTTTCATTTCGGATACGGGGAATCGAACCCCGAGCTACCGCGAATCGTAGGTATGAGAGGCGGTAATGTTAACCATTACACCATATCCGATACGGCTGGATTGTCTGAATCATCGATGTCATTTAATAAAGGGTCTCAATTGATGCTTCTGATCAATATCAACTTGCCATTCAGTGCAATTCTGATTCAAACATTTTGACGTGAGTTATAGGCTATGTGTGCAGGAGGTTTCCGCAGTGCGCACCATTACGTACATGGAGTATACCACCATCCATGGAGAGCATAGCCTGGGATCTGACTCCAAGCGCACCAAACAATGGATTTCGGTAAGTTTCTCCCCGCTCACCACACTATGACTCACACTAACCTTGCCTCTAAGTACATCCCTTATCTTCTAGCAGCTCATGGAACCGTCTATGCAATGTCGTAGAATATAGCGGCATTTTCGATTCCGAATATCGCCAGCCCCACTCACGGTGCATGGAAAACACTCGTGTTGGCCTTCGGAAGAGCATAACCAAAGTCCTTGACCAACGTGATTGGACGACCATCTGGCTCAACGGTCTTGCCGGTGTTGGAAAAACATCTATCGCGTTCACCATAGCTGAAGAGATGAAAGCAGCAAAGAGGCTTGCTGCCACTTTCTTCTTCTCGCACAAACGTGCACAAAGAGCTGCCGCCATTATTCCTACCATCGCATATCAGCTTGCAATAGCTTTTCCGCGCATTCGAGAAGATATCATGAAAGCTATCGAGAACGACGACAGCCTCCTATCACCTGGAAAATCTCATGCAGATCAGATGCAGGCGCTCGTCATCAAGCCACTGCAGACTTTGAGATTCCGTGAAGAGCCCTATGTCATCATTATTGATGCTCTCGACGAATGTTTTTCATGGGAAGAGGCGGCAAGACTGGTTGCGCTGTTGACAGATTCCCTCACGGGCTCGGCCTTACCATTCATCCACGTGATATTCACAAGCCGCCCTGAGGCTCATATCCGCGCTGCCATACCCTCCAGTGTCCACGACATTCTCCTTACCACTCGTGATGAAGATACCATACAGGATGTCCATTTATTTTTGCGAGCGTCACTGGACAAAACACGAACAATTCGACCTGTTGTTTTCGGTCAGCCACCCATCCCCTGGCCGTCGGAGGATGAATTCGAGACGTTGGTCTTTAAGGCGGGCGGTCTGTTTGTTTATGCTGCCATGGCCATGAATTTCATATCCGCCGCTGGTCATCATCCGCAGGAGAGACTAGAACTCTTACTACGCGAGAAGTCGACTGTCGGTGCCGACATCGATCAGCTTTATCGGCAGATCATTGCAACTTCGGAGAATCCACTTGTGCACTGCCGAATGTTGGCGTCTATCATCCATCTTTTCGTACCGTTGCCACTTGCGGAACTCCAAGAACTCTTTTACGCGGATAAAAGGAGCTTGGCTATGATGCTTGAAGCATTTTCACCCGTGATCTTGAATGATGGGGTTGGGTGTGTTGAGATTTACCACGCTTCGCTCCGGGACTTTATGAGCGACCCTCTACGCTCGAAGCAATATCACATAGATAGCCCAAGCGCTCATGAGCACCTTGCATACCGTTGCCTTGATTTCATAACACGCCAGGACTCCATTCGGACTCGTGCCATTCTAGCGTCGCCATCGTCTTATCCATATCCATATACAACGTGGTTTTTCCATCTTTATCAGGCCTATCCTAGCAACAAACTTCGAAATCTACTGGCCCTGTTTGCAAACAAAACATTGCGACATTGGGTACATACCTCAAACACCGATGAGTACTACTTCAACACGGCTGACTTCCTTCCCCACACTGTCCGAAACGCAGGAAGGCCTTGTTTATCCTGGGTGATTATTTTCAACATGTTGAATTATTAGGGACGTGTACTAACTATGAATTACTCAGAAATGGATCAGGGGTCCGTCGGACATTGTTGTTGCATGGCGTCTTCATAAAGGTTGTAAAAAGTTTGGAAAGCTAGAAATGGCAAGAAATTTGCAAGAAACCGATACCTTACGGAGCTCACCTAGCTAGAATTTCAGAAATGCGACCATTTGGACTGATTCTCGCTGCTCGGTTTACTACTGATAGCTGGTCTAAATAAACTGAACTCTCTGGTCCTCCAAGACAAGAAGCATACGACATGCTAACAACGACACCAATACCACACTCGTGTCAATGCACGTCCGTAGAAACACTCCCCACCACTTCGGTTGTAGATCTTCTGCGTCGACGAGCAACGTCTTTTATCCAAAGCCACGATGTCACTTAAAGTTTTAAACAGAACCATCATCATCATCATTATCTGTTACTGATACTGACATAGCGAATTCAAGAGGCATGATCATGCTTTCAGTTCACACCCTTCCATGATATGCATCAACTCATCTTCTGAAATCTGAAAATCTGGCCTTGAAATCATTGTGCCAGGCTGCTTGTTCGCAAAATGCCATGCATAAAAAACATGCAACGGCTTTAATACGAGCTAGAAGGCTTAACATTGAAAGTGTTGAACGACGACTAAACCTGAACTTGGAATTATCTCACACGCATCCTTCAACATCGAGCTAATGATCAAGATTAAGCTTAAACGTCTCAGGGTCTGGGAAACGTCTAGTTCTGAAACGACTATCAAAGATCGAATTCATCGTACTCCGAAGGAGGGCAATCACTAACCAAGTGACTATCGCTGTCCCATCTGGGTACAATGATCTTCCTGTATGTGCAATCAGATCACTTGGCTTCGACAAGCTGACGAAGGGTTACTCACCCAAATAGCACCTTGTGTGCGTCGTGCGATGCGCACGTTGTTCTCGCAGGTAAGCACAAAATATAAAATATAATGTAGGATTTGGGACAACGGAACGTAACCACACACACAGATCAACGACTCCATTTCAGAACCTCCGAAACGAAGACATGAAAGCGGGAAGTGGTTGCTTGTCAGTAAAGGTGGGTGGTAGCCTGAGGTATGCGCCGTTGTTACAGAGCAAATGAGTACGATGAATTTCGCGATAAGAGAACTCAGATACCTAATTTCTTCAGCACAAACGGTGATAACGCTGTTATTACCAAGACAAGTTTTCGGTCTGGCGCGTATTCCGCTCGAGACAGACGAGGATACCGTCGGCATATTCATAAGCAGCCTGTAGGATTCCCGTCAGGTCGTTTCGTTTATATCATGATATACATACTTCCGAACACAGGCGACCTAGCCTCACCCCGGAACCCAGTCAACTTGAAGGCGGTTGCAGCAACCTGCTCGGCTAAGGATTAGTCATCTTGTTTCGAATGCGTAAGGCCTTGATCAGGACATACGAATGCCTTACTACCAATTGACCTGAATCAACTTCAAATTACCCTCCTTGGCTAAGCCCGCGCAGTCCCGGAGTCGAGGACGCTGTCGGGCAACTAGATTATAACACACTGCCAAAAGCGGGCCCAAGTATACCGACCTAGAAGTAAACCTCTTTAGTGTTTGCATCTAAGTATAGTACCTTGAGCGTACAACCCAGCGCAGACTTCACATGCTGCGGCGCGTTCAGTTAACCAGACTGATGATGTTTTTTTAGTCTTTCGAGAATCGAGCTGTCCCAATAAGAAAGCAAAAACAAAACTTTATCAGTTCCTGTCACGACTCGCGGGATATTAGGTGGCTCGAGAATCGAGAAGAAAAACGACGAGCACTTGCGGGGTGTAGCTAGGCTACTTGATCAAGAGTAATCAATAAGTGTTTCGAGCTAAAACTCGGAAAGAGAGCATGGAGCGTCACCAGCCAAAATGATAAAAGTAAATTCGGATACGGGGAATCGAACCCCGAGCTACCGCGTTGATATATCTTTATGAGAGGCGGTAATGTTAACCATTACACCATATCCGATATATCAATAATGTTATAGAAGACCATCAGGATCAGGATCATGCCATCTGCTATCGCATTCGTATTCGTGTCAAAGATGAGTGCTTGGTAGCTGATACATAACAAGCTAAGAGATAATATCGCACCGTAGGCCTTTGCAGGATTCATGTCGCTCTTGTGACGAAACAAATACCCCTCTCAACTTTGCAACCGAGGTACAGTATACCGATGAACAATCAGGCGCCCACCGCATGATATTGAAACATATTCCACTTGATATAGATATAAAACCACATGGCTGAGAATAAATGCTCAAGGAGATAAATGATCTATCAGTCATGAGATCAACGGCCCCTACGCGTCACGAAATTCTAGAGATACAAATGAGACCACAATCCTACGCACAAGAAAAAATGCTGGCTTACGTCCAGATCCTGCGATGTCGCCACAGCAAGCACAAAATTCCTGCCCTGGTCCGTAACTACAATGATCAGAGCTGTCAGGGGCCAGATCCGCAAAAACAAAACATTCAACTCAAGACGCACCTAGCGCGAAGATATTGTCCTGCAAAAACTCTGCCAGTTCCGCAAGAGGCGTCAAGGGATTTATGAGGGTGTAATGCTGAGACGCGCTACGATTGAACTTGGTCATGTATTTACTGATGGAATCGTTCTGAGCGTCGGATTAAGCATATAAGGGGCATCAACCTGATAGAGATACGAACTGGTGATGCAGTGCCTGCTTCCCACTTTTCTTTCAGAGAAGCGACATCTACGTACCCGAGAGGTTGACGATCGCGGTTTAGGACGCTGAACGGAAACGTTAGATATTGGCGCGCACGGAAGAAATGCATTTACGGAATATGGGAGAAGTCACGATCATATGCTGACTCCATTGCGCGAGATACGGTTTCGGTGGAGGGTAAACAGAATGCAGGGGGGAGTTGCAGGTCCTGATGCGTCGACTTATCTTAGTTTCGTAGGATATTAATTAATCTTATGATACACACCTCGACAACAGCACCACGGTATTTATCGTTTGTAGGCATTGATGTTAGGGCGAAGATGTTGAAGGGGACAACGTCTGATGGGAGTTGAATTGAGGTTGCCATTTCTTGGAGGGGACTGGATGAGTGAGTGTACACACGCACCACTTAAATCGTCCAAGCTTTGAGGAGTGGACCGATTCCTGTCAATTTCGAAGCGA